GGCTAGGAGGAGACTTGGCGTCAAAGAGTTTCTATGTTGGAAGAAGTTCAGGAAACGCCCACTGACGGATTCTGCCAGCGACTGACACAGCCATGGAGAAAGGGCTGTCCAGCCAGGGAAAGGTTTAGCCAGGCTACGTTGCCTAGAACAGTAGCACCCTTTACGCACAAGCAACCCCAACTCCCTTTACATCAAACAACACCGTTCTTAATATGCCAGCCTCATCTCAATAATACACTATTTGAATTCCTTAAACGGCTTATGTCCAAGCTGTTTCTGGACCTACATTACATTCATGGTTGTGTGCCAAATTATTGGCTCAACCCATATGTATTGGATTTGTTATCAAGAAAGTTCTAAGATCGTGACATAGTTGTTGTTCGGTCAACCATTAATATGATTGCTGCAGGGTCAACCCAGATGGTCATTTAGATGATCACCACATTAACATAATGAAATTGTCGAAACATACTATATGCAAATTAAAATCTTTTGCTGATACACACCTTTCTCCCCCTTTCAGGCCTGTTGGTGTTATTTGCTATTTAAGGTAAGCACTTTAAATTAAAATAGCATTATATGCGGATACATCTTTGTCACTTTATGGTATGGAAAAATATGGTCTTATATCAGAATATAAAATAAATTGGCCCAAGTCAGAGCTTGTTACCATTAAATGATCTTCTTTATTAAAGGAATATAGAATTGAATTTTAGTATAAATTCATCTAGTAACCTAGTCAGGTGTCTTGGAATAAAACACAAGCAATATTGCAAAAGTTAATTACTTCAAAAAATCTGGACACAAGCAATATTGCAAAAATTAATTACTTCAAAACTAAACATACAATCTGGTATTGGAAGGTGGGTGAAAATTAAGTCATTGTGATTAACTGGAACTTAAAGCCGTGAAAATGACACTTCTCTTCAAATTTTTGTTTCTATTTATTTTCTTTATTTATAAATAAGTAGTTGGGAATTGAAAAGCTGGCTAAAAATTCTGGATACTTTTATGCTGAAAATAAGTGACCCAGAATTGAGTCCTATACTATGTGAGCAGCATCATACTTGGATGGTTTATTGGTACCTAACCTGTGGTTATGTGGGTCATTCCATGTCAGTTCAGTGCAGTCGTGGATTTTGATGAAACTTGGTGCACACCTTTCCCTTATGGTGGAAAGAAACCCCCTACAGGTGTAGCCTCAATATCACCTGTAAGTTTTTCATTTTTTCTTCCATCAACGCCATACACTCCTTGGGAAAGAAGTATCCTGCCAGTTATTGTCTGTGGAAGTTGTACAATACCAAGCATATGAGGAAGTGGTGTTGTGCAAGAATCATCACGGCTAGGCCAGCAGAAATCCTCGTCGTGTTATTGAGCTCTGTGTAAATTTCCAAGAGATCTGATCATTGGTTATGGAGGGGGGGGAATGTACTTAAGGCTGAGGATCTCAAGAGGGACAGAAACACAGATTTCATGAAAATGTGAAGTGCTATAAAATTTAAACCATTTGAGATAGAGGGGGGGAATTTAATGGAGTTTCTTTCAATCATAAGGGAAGGGTGTACACCAAGTTTCATCAAAATCCGAGACGGTGGGTGACAAAACCCTTGCTTTTTGCGTTGATTTGATGTGGAATGACCTGTGTCCTATCTGGCCACCGTGAACATAAATGAATTCTAAGGTCAATGAAGGTCCCAGAGCATTTCTAGTTCATCAAGGAAGTTTGATTTTTTAACCCCAAAGGGGATTAAATACAAGGGTGATACATACATACATGTCCAGATCTCTGGGTCAGGGCTGTACTGTTTCCCCTCCATTGTTATTACCCGTAATGTGGGGACCTATGTTTAAAATGTCTACATTTCATTTCAAACAATTAGCTTGACATGCAAGTCTCCATTTGCTGGGGAAAATGACAGAGCGACCCTCCTAAATATTCAGAATGGAACAGTTTCATGGGATATTCCTGATTTTGTGCATCTGAGCAAAGAAGCACAGGATTTTATCAGAACGATACTGCAACCGTCTCCAGAGTGAGTATTCTTTTTATTTTTAATTTTAATTCAAGGGTGTGTGTGTGTGTCAGTTCTCCAGCTCAGAATCATAGCCATTCAGGCACAACAAGTAGCAATTAATCTAAGCAAACCAGGATTCTTGGCTGTTAATCATCATCATCATCATCATCATCATCATTTATGCCCCGCCCATCTGGCTGGGTTTCCCCAGCCACTCTGGGCGGCTTCCAACAAAACACTAAAATACAATAACCTATTAAACATTAAAAGCTTCCCTAAACAGGGCTGCCTTCAGATGTCTTCTAAAAGTTTGGTAGTTATTTTTTCTCTTCGACATCTGGTGTGAGGGCATTCCACAGGGTGGGTGCCACCACCGAGAAGGCCCTCTGCCTGGTTCCCTGTAACTTGGCTTCTCACAGTGAGGGGAACCGCCAGAAGGCCCTCGGCGCTGGACCTCAGGGTCTGGGCTGAACGATGGGGGTGGAGTCGCTCCTTCAGATATACTGGACCAAGGCCGTTTAGGGCTTTAAAGGTCAGCACCAACACTTTGAATTGTGCTTGGAAACCTACTGGGAGCCAATGTAGGTCTTTCAAGACCAGTGTTATATGGTCTCGGCTGCCGCTCCCAGTCACCAGTCTAGCTGCCACATTCTGGATTAGTTGTAGTTTCCGGCTCACCTTCACTATTGTTGGTAGACAGGACCATACCATGACACACAAGCTGAAACCTGTTTTTCTCTCTTCCCAGGGCAAGGCCTAGTGCTATGGCGTGTCTCTCCCACACATGGTTTATGGTAAGCCCTCATAAGTTCCCTGTTCAATAGATGGACCCTTAACCATCAGTGCTAGTGTTTTCTGGCAAAAGAAAGTCACTTTTCTGAAACACGTGATGCCAGATTCTTTGTAAATTGACATTTTAATGTTTATATTTATGTTAATTTATTCCTTCCCTCCCCTTTACAGCATAACCTCCCACTTGAAGAAGCTCACTTCATAGATACAAAGCAGCTCAAATTTTTTGTGTCCCGAAGCAAATGGCAGGTTAGTAGGCTCCAGCCCAGCCACTGGACTGTGCTTCAACATGTTTTTGTTGCTTATTCAGTTTCTAGAGAATTGCAGAACCTGCAGTTCAGGAGATCTGTTTTTCTTTCTAACATATGTGTTTCCAACTGCCCTTTTCTCATATTTACACATTACAACTTAGCAGTAGATGTTAAAAAAATCTTAGCTGCACACCTAAGAAACACATTATTATTATTATTATTATTATTATTATTATTATTATTATTATTATTAATTTGTATACCACTCTTCATCCAGAGATCACAGGGTGGTTCACAACACAAAAATATAAAATGAGAACCCAAAATATGTAATAAAAACAAAAACAGAACAAAAGCCCTCCTCCCACAAAGACATTTAAAAGGACATAGAATGTTAATCAGCCAAAGGCTAGGTTAAAGAGAAACATTTTCTCCTAGCGCCTAAATATATGCAGTGAAGTTGCCAGGTGAGCGTTCTAGGGGGAGAGCATTCCACAAACGGGGAGCCATCACAGAATATTATACGCAAAAGAAGCTCAACATAAGATTGCAAATAACAGACTTTGATTGCCATTGGTTCACTATATAGTTTCCTTATTTGCAAAAAAACAAACCAAACCCATTAAAACTGCTGCAGGCTAATCTGCACTGATCAGAAATTCTGTTTCCCAAGAAGCTCTTCTGAGCATCCATTAGAGCCTCTTGTTGTGTCTTTTTTTATTTTAATAATTTTTATTAGATTTTCCTTTTACAAATTCGCCATTCCCAAACCATATTCACGAATTACAACTTTTTGGACTTCCACCAGCTTTTCCACCAGTCATTCATATTTCTATTTTTATGCATTCTCTAATATTATATTGCCATTTAATCTATCCTTTCAGATCTACTTCTTTTTTACAATACATCTTTAACTTTCACAAAGCCTCTTTAAATCCCACTAGCGTTGTCTGTTCATCACATATGCTTTTCAGATAATTTGTAAACTTTCCCCAGTCCTCAATGAACCTGTGATCCTGTTGGTATCTCATTTTCCCAGTCAGTTTATCCAGTTCTGCATAATCCATAAGTTTCATTCTCCATTCTTCCAGGGTCGGTAGCTCCTCTTGTTTCCATTTTTGGGCCTAGCCTCTTGTTGTGTCTTAACTGGTTTTCTCCTCTCAGTTGCTTTAACCCCTATGCCTTGTGTTTTATTCCACTGCTCAGCGTTCTCTTATGAGCTATAAATCTGTGCTGGTGATGAGACCCATCCCAGAAATCCTGGAGAAAACTCAAAAGACCACCTCTCTAGGCATCTCCCGACACCTGTTGGAAGAGAGCAGCTCATCAAGCACCAGTGGATCATCTTCAGACAATGAGATTTCAGGCCTCCACAGGAAGAAGGCACTTTGGCCCTACGCCAGGACTTCACTTATCTGTGCTTGAGGGATCAGATTACCCAGAATACCAGGAGTCCATAGCAGAGGCTAAGAATTCTGAATCCTCGCTGCCACCGCTGCTTACAAGACCTAAACAGGCTTCAGCGAAGAGGCAGCAGGGTGATCAGACACGCCAAGAAAGTGAAGAATTAATGCCTCGGGGACCAATGTTTGACACAGCTTCTTCGCAAGACAAAGCTGGTTTACTGGTACCTGGAGAAGGGGAAATTGAAAGCACCGAAGCAGGAAGATCCCCTGGATGCGTCCCCAGACATAGCGTCATAAAAAGTACTTTCTACAGCCAGCCTTCTGAGAGTCTTGCCGATGTGCCTTCATCACCAGGCAAAGAGCACAGGAAGCATTTAGAAAGAGCAAAGAGAACCTATAGGAAAGCCGGTTATTCAAAATCAGCTTTAAGTGGCCTCCGTGAACCCCTTCTAGAACAGTTTGAATTGGGAGAGGGTGGATTGTCTGGGGATGAAGAAACTGAGTGGGGCAGAGAAGGCGGAGCTGGTCCTCTGATGACCAAATCGGCTTCTTTTGACACTGCGCAGAAATCGCCGCGAGTTACTTTTCAAGTTTCCAGCAGAAGCCGGTCACTGGATGACTACAAGATGAGAGCGACAAGCTTTGCTGAGGAGCAGTACATTGAGGAAGAGAGCGACTTAATTCCCGAGGGCAGTGCTTTTGAGGCTTGCAGCGAAAAGGGCTCAGAAAAGACTTCGGCAAAGGAAGGCTCAAAGAAAATTGTGAAGGGTGAAGTGCCATTTGCACAACGTGGTGAGGGGCACAGCTCGTCTTTGGCTGTGTTGATTTCAACACCGCCATCTGAAAAAGGAGAGGGTCTGCTTCAGAAACCAGGGCTACCTCTTGCGACAAAGCCGGGAACATCTACCCTAGGAAGGGAAGACTTGGCTCTAACTGCTCAGCAGTCAGATTTAGCCCCAAAGGGTGAAAGTGAGGAACGGCGATTACCTCAGACATTCAAGCTCCTCTTTGCAAGGACACGGTTCCTATTCTTCCAAAGGGAGAGAGCTCAGATTTGAGAGTCACTCCGCCAGAAAAAGCCCCACTGGTCTCCCAAGACAGTGGGAAGGGGAAAGGCCTCCCTCATAATACAATGCTGTCTTCTGTCCAGGGCAAAGAAGGACCTGCCGTTCTTCAGGGGGCCATTTAAAAGTGGAGACCAGTTGCCTCAAGTCCTTCTCTTCAGGGTCAGCAAATTCAACAAGTTGTTAAGACAAAGGGCAAAAGCCCAGGGGTCTTGCAGACTACGCCAGTGGTGGAAGGCTCTTTGCTTTTACATCAGAAGCCTTCAGAAGTTCTCCTGGAGAGTAAAAGCTCAAGTCTTCCGGGCCCACAGGCAGCTGTATCCGTCCCTGGAGGGAAAGAGCAGCAGATTCTGCCACAGAAACCATCAGCACCCAGCCAGGCGAAATCGGCTGCATTAAAGGGCAAAGGCACAGCTAGCTTAACTATTTCTCAAGCGAAAGCTGCCCCAGTTTCAAACGCTGAGCCTAAGCATTCATACCAAACACCTCCCATGCACAGTGAGATGAAAGTTCCTGTTCGAGAAGGTGATGTTTCTGCTGGCTTAGAGACTTTGCCTGCTTCTATATCAGTCTCTCATGAAGAAAGCCAAAAGCCTCCTAAGTCCTTCATTCACAGCAAAGCAGTGCCTGCTCCTGGTGAGATGAGGGAGCCTTCTCAACAAGCAGATACCGTCCAAGCATTGATCCATGAGGGGGAACACCATAAACATCTACAGCAGAAACATTTTGCCCCAGGAAAGAGAAAGCTTGATGCCTTTCCTGGAGAGAGGCAAATCTTAATGGCTTCACAAGGCAAAGCTGTTCCAATTTCTCTCTCTGAACCGGAAAAACGAGAACTCATTTATCGTACACAACTTGCTTCCAGTGAGGACGAGTCTGTTTTCCAGAAAGACCAAGGGCCATCTGTTTCAGGTTTCTCCCAAGCAAGAGTTGTGCCATTTTCAGCCTCTGGGGGAGAAATCCTGGTTACTCAAAAGGAAACCCCATATTCCATTGGACAAGAAAGAACCAGAGGACATGTTCATAAAAAACCTGCTATTTATAGTGACACAGAGGCTGAAGCCCTGGAGTACTTAGTTGATGAGATGGTTTGCCTGTCAAAAGAGATGACTGCTTTAGCAGAGTCCGTTTCTGATCCAGAGGGATCCAGAAGACACATTTCTCCATCCAGGGAGGTGTTCTACCCAGGCTCACCTGAGCAAGCAGTAAGACCGGCCACCAGATACCTTGTTCGGAGAGGAAAAAGAGAAGGGGGCATTGGCTTAGCAGATCCCTCAGAAGCAGATATTATATATCCTGGAGAAGAAGAGTACTTCAGTGTGCTACCTTCCATGGGCAAGAAAGCTAGGATGTCTCCCCCTTTCGAAGGCATGGGTTATGTAGGCGCAGAAATGCCCATGGTATCTGATTTTGGTAGTTCTGGGTTTGGGGACAGATTCTCCTATTACTGTGACAGCCAAAGAAGTGACCAAATGTGCGAAATCCGCTTAGTACAGATTCAGGACCTCTCAGAGGACATGCCTCGTCCTGATAGCAAGACAGCAAAATTTGACATCTCTGAAGTAGAACCTGCCTTTCTCAACCTGTACGAACTCTATGACATTGTGTACTTCCCATTTGAGTTCCTTAGCTTCAGAAAAGCCCCAGAGAATCTACCCAGCAAAAGACGTTTGCCTATGGGCGAAAAAGCAAAGTTGCTGCCGGGATTGAAATCCCATGCACATCAGGATAAAAAAATATGTGCCAGGGATGATAACTTGAAAGGTGAGGCTGTACAGGAAGCTCCCAGAGATGAAGAGAAAACTCCACCTGAGTTGGACGTAGAGCCAAAAGAAGCCAAAGCACCCCGGCTAGGAAACAGGTCTGATTCAGAAGGTAACATACCATCTGGGTCTCAACAAATCTATGGTCTCCTGGAAGACCCAGCCAAACAGCGGAGGAGCTCTTTACAAGACAAAGTGGGGCTCTTCAAGCCCTTTGTCAGATCTCAGTCCGTGGAGTTGGTAGAGCAAAGTCTAAAGAAGAAGGTAAAAGCATCAGTCACCCACCTCTCAAGAATGTTGACGAGAAAGTCATCTTCTGATCAGGAAAGCAGGGAAGGTAATAATTTTATATGTGTGCATGTTTCCTTTCTTGGGCTCAGGGTAAAGGAGGTCTGAAGACCTGGCTCAGTGTGAGGTGACCATGAGAAGTTACCAGGTATCTGAGAACCTGCTATAGCAACCCTAAAATGTTGCTCTGAAGACCACCTTCACTAGACACTTAACTATATCCTACAAAGACCCAAACACATCTTGTGATTAAGCACAGTAACCAAAAAGACAGAGGCTGGAGTAGGACAATTCCTTCTTCATCTTCACTCAAGCATTCAATTATGTACACCATTTTGCATGGCTTTCCCAAAGGCTTAAGTGGCCCTATTGGGGTTTTTTTGGCTGCCTCATCGTATGAGTTCAGGGCAGGTGCCAATGATGTAGAATCACAGTGTGGCGATCACACAGGGTCCCTGGACGTTTGACGGTCTATGGATCCCTGTGCCACCACTGTGATTGCTTCCCCGCTGCCACCAACCCGTTTCTCTCGGGTACACACGGAGTCCAGACAGGTGTTAACATTAAATCAAATAAGCAAGTTTATTTTATAAGCCTTAACAAGTTTATGGTTTCAGATAATTTTTCTTGTCAGTTTCTTAATCTTAGTTTCTATACCTTTCCTAATAACTGCTAACTTGATTATCCTAACTGTCTATCTGACTCCTCCTATCAGTTTCTCTCACTCTCTCACAACACAACGCGACCAACCCACAGACTTATCCTCCCTCTTCCTTCTCCAACTCCCAACTGACTCCCCAACAACTCCAACTCTAACTCCTCCCCTTGGGTTCCCACTGGCCAATCACTTCACACTCATTTAACCCTTTCCTTATGACCCACCTAGGAGGGCAAACGCCACACACAGAATAATAGAACTGTAGAGCTGGAAGGGATCCTGATCAAAGTCCAAGCACCTGCAGCGCATCTGAGCCATACAGGAATCAAACCTGCAACCTTGGTGTTATCAGCACCGTGCTCTAACCAACTGAGCTATCCAGTCTGTTCTAAAAATGTATATAGTCATACCTTGGGTTACAGATGCTTCAGGTTGTGTTTTTTTCGGGTTACGGACCGCTGAAACCTGGAAGTACCGGAACAGGTCACTTCCGGGTTTCGGCGGTCGTGCATGCACAGAAGCACTAATGAACCCATATGTGCACAGACATGCCACTGCAAGTTGCGAACGCTGCAGGTTGCGAACGTGCATCCCGCACGGATCACGTTCTCAACCCGAGCATCCACTGTATATATAAATATCTAGTTAAATAACTAATGCCTAAAGCGCCCATCACTTGGTTGTCTTTACAGTGGTTCATTTCCTTTTCAACAGGCTCAGAGGAGCGGAAGGGTGAGCTGCAAGAAAGAGCATCTTTGACAGAGGCTTCTGGAGGATTGAAAAAGAAAACAGGGCTTCCCTTCATTCACTCTTCCAAGCCTCAAAACAAAGGAGAAAGGTACTATCACATTGTTGTTTGTTTGTTGCATTTAAACTAGAACCTGGGGAAGCACAGCGTGAAAAACTGTAGAAACGTTGTACGATTGAAGCTTCTTTATTAAATTAAAAAGGTAAAAGTTTAAGGACCCCTGACAGTTCAGTCGCAAAGGACTCTGGGGTTGCGGCACTCATCTCGCTTTACTGGCTGAGGGAGCTGACGTTTGTCTGCAGACAGTTTTTCTGGGTCATGCGGCAAGCATGACTAAGCTGCTTCTGGCAAAACCAAAGCAGCGCACAGAAACACCGTTTACCTTCCCGCCGGAGCGGTACCTAGTTATCTACTTGCACTTTGACGTGCTTTGAACTGCTAGGTTGGCAGCAGCTGGGACAGAGCAACGGAAGCTCATCCCGCTGTGAGGATTTGAACAGCTGACCTGATCAACAAGCCCAAGAGGCTCAGTGGTTTAGACCACAGAGCCACCCGCGTCCCCTTTTATTAAATTAGCCATCGTACAAATTGCACCGACACAAAGGACCAGCTAGGATTGCTAGATTGCAACCCGGAGATCTGGAAATGGGAGAGAATGTGGCTTACTCCTCTGGTTCTCTCTGTTGATTTAGAAATGTGTGCTAGAAAAGGTAAAACCCAACGCATTTCAGGTATCTGCTTCCTGCCTCACTGACCTGTGTTCTCTAAAGTTCTCTTCCTTTTCAGCACCTTCTTTTGCTGAAGAGCTCACTGACCAGACCATTGCCTTGGGGCAGTCTCTGACGCTGTCCTGCCGGACATCTGCCCATTCATCACCCAACATCGAATGGTTCAAAGGTGATATAACCTCCACACCTGTCCACCTGTGATGAATCTGTAACAGGGATGGTCTGGGGCAAAGCAAGGAGGGAACGGCATGACCATTTCTCTATTTGTTAGACCCTTTTCTTCACAAATCCCTTCCCACACTTCAGCATGGGCATTACATGTGCATGATCAGGGATGCAATGGTGGGAGAAAGAGAGTAGTGAATGAATGAGGTGGGAGGGGAAGCCAGAATTTCCCTACCTGAAATATGCACAATTAGGCAGGCACCTTTGCTATATTGTTTTAGATACCTCCTGAACTTTCTGTTTTGGCAAACCTACCCAGGCTTATAATATAATTACTTATATGTCTTTTAAAAATTTGCTGGTTTCTCTTTTTTCATTCTTCTCCTTGATTTATTTTTATTAGTTTTTAATTTTAGTTTTATGCATATATTTGTTTTCGCTTAGACTGAATCTTAGCCGTTATTAGTCTTCCAATTTTATTTGTACAACACTTGGAGAACTGCTTGATCGAGTAGCTTATAAATTTCCTATTTAAATGAATCTAGAGCCTATAAAAGGAAAGGCTGCTCAAAAGGATAGCTGTGTTGTTATCAAGTGGTTATAGGCACTGTCATCCATCCCAGCCAGGGGAAAGAAATCATCCTTTATTCTGAACCCAGGAACCAAGAGGGGATAGGAGGGATTCCATTTCTTTTCAAATCTCATGGCTTCCAGGCCTACTCTAGAGGAGAGTCGCTCCCACCCTCTGCACCCTACATTCTAGGGCTGACGTAATGCCTCTACTCAAGATTCTTCACGTACCTCTTTCTGTGATTTCATAAGATTTCATAACCTTGACCCATTCATATATATATATATATATATATATATATATATATATATTGTATTTCATTTCCACCTTCCAGATGGAGCAGCCATTCGTAGTACGGACAGGATCCTGATCTCCTCTACGCTCAAACACTTCCAGCTTTTAACAATATTAGCAGCCACATCCAGTGACTTTGGCACTTATACATGTGTAGCCACCAACGCCCAGGGCACAGTTTCCACCTCCTGTGTAATAAGGAAAGCAGGTAAAGGAACAAATTATTTCCCCTTTGATCCTTTGAACTTGTAGCATAGCATTTCCCAAATGATCTTTGGCAGGAAAGTCCTAGCACAGCTTTCTCTCTGACATGCCAACTTTCCATGTGCAGCAATATTTTTTGTGTAGGACAGCATTCAGAAATACAGTGGTAGCTCAGGTTAAGTACTTAATTCGTTCCAGAGGTCTGTTCTTAACCTGAAACTGTTCTTAACCTGAAGCACCACTTTAGCTAATGGGGCCTCCCGCTGCCGCCGCACCACCGGAGGACAATTTCTGTTCTCATCCTGAAGCAAAATTCTTAACCCCAAGGTACTATTTCTGGGTTAGCAGAGTCTGTAAGCTGAAGGGTCTGTAACCTGAAGCATATGCAATCTGAGGTACCACTGTAAAGCCTTTCTGCTTTCTCTGAATCAACACAGTCTATCAGGAATCATTTACAAAAGTCTTGTCCCATCTTGGAATGCAAGCTGGCATGACACCTCTAAAGCTCCCCTGTTCTCACTGGCCCCAGCCTTCTAGTAGCTCCAGTAAAACAAAATGGGAGGCTGAGCTTCAAGCTATGACTGGAAGTCCATGTCTATACCTCCATAAAGACCCTGAGAACTTTCAGGCAATTAGTATGACTCTTGCAGCAAGGAGAAAGAGGCAGCACGTCAGATGGGCTTGAGCAATATGTTTGCCAAGTCCTGGGGTGTTTGGGGTTGTTACCTGCTAAATAACTGACAAACAACAAGCGGCGGCACAGGATAGCCAAATTGGACTTACAGTGGTGCCTCGCAAGATGAAATTAATTTGTTCCGCGAGTTTTGCCGTCTTGCAATTTTTTTCGTCTTGCGAAGCACGGTGTTGGAAAAGTTTTGGAAAAGCTTCAAAAATCTCCAAAGTCTTCAAAAACCTCAAAAAAGGCTACCACACCGCGTGCTATGAGTTGCTCCTTGAAGTCAAGTTGCAACTGTATTAACGGTGTTAAGAAAAAGGAAACAAACTTGCAAGACGTTTCCATCTTGCGAAGCAAGCCCATAGGGAAAATCGTCTTGCGAAGCAGCTCAAAAAACAAAAAACCCTTTCGTCTTGCGAGTTTTCCGTCTTGCGAGGCATTCGTCTTGCGAGGTACCACTGTACCACTAATTGGCATGCAATCAGTGCATCTAGTTTCTGCAATACAAATAGGAGCTGTGATCTGCAGATGAGGCAATCCAAGCATTATCAGCACCATGTGATAGAAAATGGGGTTAGCTCTTTTCCCCATGACAAAATCCTAATGAAAATTGCCCCCTCACTGAAAGCAGTAGTCGCACAGTAGGGTAGCTTCTGTTGGTGGGAGAAATTTCTTTGGGCAAATAGTAGTTGTAAGGGGAGCATTTTCATTGGGTTTGTGGCATGGGGCATCAAACTCAGTTCCCTTCCTCTTGGCAGCTATTTATGCTTTAAATATCTATGATGTTGATGTTTGTGTCTTAAATTGATATACTACGCCTCCATCCGAATATCACAGGGTGCTTTACAACATCAAGCACAAGAGCTAAAGTATGGTCCAAAGTTTACACTGTGGATGGCTTCATTCTAACAGTCGCAGACTTACATTTTGTCTTCCACTTTGACAGAGACACCTTCCAACCCACCGTCTCCTGATATTGTTGAGGTTCTTGAAGATGGAGTGGAGTTGGCCTGGAAGCCAGTGGAACTGAACACTCCCGTTACTTACTCTGTACTCTGCAAAAAAGATGGTAAATAAATGAGAACTCATTGTACAAACTGCTTCCTTGTACAAACTGACCCTTCCAGCTATGATTCTAGGATCCAGCCTGTGGTTTCTGGAGGAAGGTATTTCCTGCATTGTCAGGGTGGCGATGTGGTCTAAACCACGGAGCCTAGGACTTGCCAATCAGAAGGTTGGCGGTTCGAATCCCCGCGACGGGGTGAGCTCCCATTGTTTGGTCCCAGGTCCTGCCCACCTAGCAGTTCGAAAGCACGTCAAAGTGCAAGTAGATAAATAGGTACTGCTCTGGCGGGAAGGTAAACGGCGTTTCTGTGCTCTGCTCTGGTTTGCCAGAAGCAGCTTAGCCATGCTGCCCACATGACCCGGAAGCTGTCTGCGGACAAACACCAGCTCCCTCGGCCTATAGAGAGAGATGAGCGTCGCAACCCCAGAGTCGTCCGCGACTGGACCTAACGGTCAGGGGTACCTTTAGCTTTTCTGGAAACATTGCTGAGGCATCTTCCAGGCCCCACCGCAACTACAGAATCATAAAATAACCTGGAGCAGTCTAATCCACTGCCACAACACAGGTATCATAAGGTCAAGCCATAAAATCATATAATCTGTTGGAAGGGACACAAGGGTCAGCTAAAGCATCCATGGCAGGTGGCCATCCAACCTCTGCCTTAAAATTCCAATGAAGGAACTATATGGAACTTGCCGAACTGACTGGGAGACTCCGGGACCAGAGAGAAGAGACAGTGGAAGAAGATTGGAAAAAGTTTAAAGAATATTTGGGGGGGGGGGAAATGTTAATATTTAAATCTTAGAATAGCTTTGGAAGTGGATATAGGCTGTAGGGTTAGAAGTAGAAGATAGTGTATTTTAAAATAGTATTATATGTGAGGGATAAAATGTGAAGATTTTTACGGTTAAAGTGTGATAAAAAATTAAAAATTATGATATATGTAAACTGCTAAAGATGAGGTAAAATGAAAATCAGACAGGGGGGACTTGGGGAAGCTCACCTAACAATGTTTAGAAAAAACAAGGATAAGACAAGAATTTGTTTGCATTGTTTGTTTTCTCTGTTTGTGTTGTTTACTTGTCTTATAAAATGAATAAAATTTTTTGGGGGGAAATAAAAATAAAATTCCAATGAAGGAGAGTCCATAACCTCCCAAGGGAGACTGTTCCACTGTTGAACAGTTCTTACCATCAGCTATATTTAGTCAGAATCTCCTTTCTTGTAACTTGAAGCCATTAGTTTGAGTCCTATCTTCCAGAGCTGGAGAAAACAAGCTTGCTCCATCTTCCACGAGACAGCTCTTTAGATAAAAGCCAAACATGATAGAGCCAGCCTTGCCAATAGCTTCCCCCACCCCTGTTCTACTAACAAATAGTAATTGAGGGTGGGGTGCTTGTTGCTTCAAATCCTATAAAATACGTTGCACAAGAGACTACAACAGGACAAGCGAAAGTGAATGTGGTGCAATCATATTGCTCTGGATTCTCTAGAACGCTTTCCATAATGAAAGCTCTGCACTCCTGAGAAATCTCGATTTGCATTCTAAGCTTTTACCGTTCTCTTCGGCAGAGAGGGGCTTTTAAAAACAATCTGGTTCCTTTCCCAATCTTGAGAAAGTATGAGGCTGCTTTCAAGGAAACAGCTTGAAGTAACATAAAATTCATTTAAAAAGATGAAATCCCATAGAGAGGGGAGAAGGATGGATGCAGGACTGAATATTGTGCTTTTGAGAGATCGCACACATCTCTTTAATAGTGCACCTGTCTAAAGTGATAGAAGACAGAATATTCATTTCTGCAATAGCTGGAAATCTCCCTCCCTGTGCATCCTAATCCAAGCCCATCTGGTCAAAATATGACACTGTTACATGCAGCCCGCTGTATTTAAATACTAAACTTTATTCTTCTCTTTTGTTGGCCCAGATGGTGAATGGAAGACTCTGGCCAGTGACATCTCAGAGTGCTGCTACACTGCTGAGCATCTCCCTCGGGGTTTGGTGTTATCCTTCCGGTTTGCCTGCGTCAGCAAAAGTGGTGTAGGGCCGTATAGCAACCCAACTGCCAAAGTGAGAATTGGTGACACAGATCCAGCAGGTAACAACATAATCCACACTGAATAGAGTTCCTGTACTTATCCTCTTCAGCAGCATAAGCCTGGAAATGCCATTTATAGCCACATGAGCAGAC